ACAGCCGGGGCCAGAGGGCGTGACCGAGGCATTACCGGAAGGCGTAGCCAGGGAGGGGGGGAGGGCGTGGCGAGGGCAGAGGGCGTGACCAGGGACAGCGGTGCAGGGAGGGCGTGAGAGGTCAGAGCGGAGAGGGCGTGGGGAAGGCGGAGCGGAGGGCGTGGCGAGGACCCTCATGGCGGAGACCCTCTCTTACTCTTTGTTCTGTCTCCTGGTCTTTGGTATGGTGTTTCCACTTCACTTGAACTTATCCCAACCACTGTGTGTACGCATTGAATTAACCCCCTAGTTCAAATAAATATTTTATAGGCGAAACATTATACAATCAAATTATGAAACCTGAACTTCCAAAAACACCTGAAATCCCGCATCTCCGAAGTAGACGCCGGGCTCACTCACCGACGTCCCCGGTTCCACAGCACGGGATCCACAGTGGGCAAGGTGCCTGCTTGTACTTTAGCTTCTGGGTGATGCTTTTCTTAAAAGGCATCAGTTTCAACATGTGAACTTGAATCTCAGACTGAAATCTCAGTTTCCTTCCGGACCATTAAGGCTATGTCAAAGAGGTTATTTCTAGAAACAATTACTGGTGCAGAGAAGTGCCAGGGACTGTCAGCACACCAGCCTTCTGATGGCTCTGCCACCCCAACTAATGCCCTGGGCAGCACAGACGACAACAAAGCGGGCATCTAACAGAAAACACAATGTTTGGTCAAGGTCTTGAGTGTGGGCAGCAGTCTGGGATGGCAATATTGCTTTTCGGGGTTCAGAGGCCGACTCACCATCAGACCAGTGTGGGCCAGAAATGGATCTTGGAAGATGGACGCGGCCCCCGGAGGGCACCTCTGAGTGAGGATATGGAGGGGTCAGACCGTCACAGCCCGCGGTCTGCCCCTGGAACAAGTGGGGGAGACTTCTCCCAACAAGAGAACATGGGGAGGCTCTATTCTTGGGGGCGTGAGGATAACTATCTCAGAGCTTGTACTGGGAAGGCTCACACGGACGGTATTACTCATTCTTCACATGCGATACTCTGTTTTCTCCATGGGGCAGCCAGCAGACAGGAAAGACTCAAAGACACCCTGCAACACACGGGGGACGCTAGCACCCCCTCGAAGAAACAAACTCCACACCAGACAGGACCCTGAAGGCCAGCCCCACCGTGTGGTGGGTTTGGACAGAAGCAGGGCACAGGCCACGACGCTGACAGGCCGTGGGAACACGTGGCTCGAGGGGCTGGTCCAGCCAGTTCTAGAAGCATGAGGACCAGAGGGTTGTGGACAAGGAGGCACAGAGGCAAGGCCAGCCCGTCCCATGGTGAGGACAGGCCCCCCGTGCTCAGCACGGCCGGTGGGGTGGCCACTTGTGCTCCACGTCCACGGTGCACGTCCACACAGGCGTCCTTCTCCGGAGGTGTCTGAGGCTGGAGGCCCCATGCAGTGGGGACACAGCAGGCCCTGGGGCCCTTCTTCCCAACACAACTGAATGCCTGTCGGAGGCAGTGTGAGGCCACCAGAGCCAGGAGAGGTGACATGCTAGCCACAAGCTCCAGACAAGTCCCGCTGCCCTGGTCCCTCCTTTAGGGTGGGGAGAGGCTCACACGTGTGGCTCTCAGAGGTCTGGACTGATGGCCTGTCCGCCAGTGGTCCCCCCATGGGGCACAGGGACAGAATGGCTGTGCGGGAGACTGGAGAGGGGAGGCCATGACAGTGGCTCCTGTTTTGCGTGTGGGCCTGGCCACGTGGCCCAGGGGCTGGAGCTCCGCCGACAGGCCAGGAGGGTGAGTTCCGGGAGGCGGCTCTGGCCGTGCACGCGTGTGCTCTGTTGGAGAACAGGACAGACAGTATCAGTCCCAGGACCCCCCACAGGAACCCCACCCAACCTGCGCTGATGCTGCCTGTGGGGGCTCCCGTTCCAGATGCGGTGGGGGAGTGGGCACATGTGACCCATCTGAACTAGGGCACCAAGCCAGCGTGGTGACCGTATTCTGGCTACAAATGGCTCCCCGGCTTGGCTCCACCGTCTGGCAAAGATGATGCATGTCAACATGCAAAGCCTCTTCCAGAGGCCGGAGGGACTGAGACCGGGGTCCACGGTCACCTCCACGCACGCAAACACAGTCTGCAGATTTTGACAGCTCACGGGACCCTGTGGCCTGGCCTAGACGTCCTGAGGTTTACCGGGCAGTGGGGAGTGGGGGAGCAGTCAAGGAGAAATCGGTCTTAAAGGAAAACCGTCCCCAGGCAGATGTGCCTGTCACACTTCAAAAACCTAACTCAGAGTGCTCTTTGTGCGTGGCTGCAAGTCTGTGCCTCTCAGGGGCAGATGTGGCTCCACGCGTCAGCCTGTGGACAGCAGAAGGCCTGCGCCAGACATCTGTCTGGGCCGGCGTTCAATGCAAATCATGCAACATTCCCCTTTTTTGTCACAAAATACACTCTTTCCTGATAGACCTTTCAGGTGAAGCTGTTTCGACAACGAAGTCCGCGGAACAGGCTTTGTTCTGGCAAAATGAACCCTGAACACATTGGGGGAGTAGCAGCTCGTAAACACACGTGGGACAACACGGGCCATGGCACACGTGTGTGTGGGCACAGTGCACGGCCGTGTGTGGCCCGGCCACTCTCAGGCACGTCACTTACCTGGGATAGAAACACACGTGTGCATAAAAAGCAGGGTTTTTTTTTTTTTCACCATGAACCCCTGTTATCAAAAATGGCACAGCACAGCAAAACTTTGGAGGAAGAACAAACCGTCTGGAAGGACCACAGCACACCCGGGAGGCCCGCCGGGCGGCGTGGCGGACACTGTTACCTATCCTTGGCTAGTGGCGCCTCGGCCGCGGTAAGAGGTCCTTCAGAAGTGGCCGGTCCGTGTTGGGCGCGGCAGCGACCGATGCTTTGAGTTTCGTGCTCTGCTGCAAGGCGAGGAAACATACTGAGAGGGGCTGCGCCCGGCCCCAGAAGCGCCTCCCGTCCGTGAGCACAGTCTGGCCTCGTGGCCGACGTGGGGTTTGCTCTGCCAGTGGGCACCGCTGGACCAGGCCCCTCTGTGCCCAAAGGGCATGTGGTTGGCCACGGAAGTCTGTGCGGGCTGGGGCCGTGGGGCGGGCACGGGCTCTCGACATGGGCACCGTCGGGGAAAAAGAGAGTCTTCTTGATGGCGCCCTTCACCAGATGGAGCCCGAGGGCCGGGGCGGCCGAGGGCCCGTGGGGGAGCCCCGGCTAGAGGACCCAGACTGGCTGCACTCGCTCCAAAGGGGAGGTACCACACCCTGGTCCCCTGCTCCTTGGCCCCAACTCCAGGAGCGCAGAAGTCCCGGCCTGAGGCTAGACCCCTGAAGGGTTCCGGAGTCACGGCACCGCAGGTCGACGGGGCCAGGCCTCCCGGCGCCGGCTTTCTAGTTAAACCGTATTAGTTTCTCAGTGGTCGGGAGAAGAGAATCGTTAAGAGGTGGACAGGTACAGGGTCTGAGACGTGAGTACGGGAAGTATAAGGTCTTCTGGGGAGAGAGGTGCGGTCGCTGCCCTTTGCACAGGTGGGATTGTATAGAGAATACAGCTAAATGCAGACAGAAATACACATATATGGGTCACATCGGTCTACACTGGAAACCTGGCCCCTGTGAGGTTTTTCTTTGTATCAGAACAGATGGGAGGAAACAACTGTCCATTTGAAGTGAGGACCGGTCTAGGCTCTGTTCCTCCAAAGTTTTGCAGGCGTCGGGTGGCTTCCCAGAAGCACAGGCATATCCACCCGTGTGTGTGTCAGGCACTCCGTGGTGTGGCTACACCCGCGGGCTGCCCCGTGTGGCCGAGTACACTGCAGGGAGCCCAGCACCAACCTTCTCCAGCAGCTAGAGGCAGGCTTCCAAGATGGAGTCTTAACAAACTGCCTCCGTAGTGAAAGTATAGATTTTTAGCCCAGAGTTGACAGGATTTAATCAATTTCACAAGCACATCCTGTGACTTAAGGTGTTCCTAATAATTGCATTCTAGATGTTTTTAAATAAGTTGGTTGACAGTGAGATGAAATTAGGTAATTCATTCTAGCAAATTCTGATGGCACTTTAACAGAAAATTTTTGATTGCTGATAATTACTAAAATTAAAAAAAATGTACCATCCTGTGAGTTAAAAAAGTGTTTCAACTGTATAGAATCAAACATTATTAAAGGTATTTTCCTATGAATAAGCTGCCTTGGGAGACAGTGATGCAAGCATCACTAATTTTGAGGCATACGTCAACGTGGTATTCAGCTACATGAATAAACTGCTGAAAAACAGACTGAAAGCCATCTCTGGACAACACTTCGTGCCTAAAATCTTGGCTCTGCAACAGGCTGTGACCCTGGGTGCCTGCCACAGAAAACTTCCGTGTAAGCCACTACCGCCGTTTACAGCAAAGTAGAGGGCTTTGTCTAAAAATAATCAGATTTTAAAAAATAAGCTAAAAGGCAATTTGGAGAAACACTTGACCCAACACACAGTCCACAGTCTGAGTGGCTCAGCCCGAGTCTGGTCTTTTCTGCAATGCTCTGTGGGTCCTGAGCATACTCAGTTTCCCTGTACACAGAATAGGTCCACAGAGGGGGGTTGTGAGTGAGGAGGCCTTGCCCTCCATCCGCCACGGGCTGAGGAGAGACCGGTGGTGCTGAGGTGACTTTGCCCACCTGGGCTCCTGTGACTTGGGAGCCAGTCCCACCCGGTGGCCAGTGTAAGGTGGTGCAGCCCTATGCCCGCAGGAAGGACGTGGCCGCACCTTGGCAGGGGACCTGGTACTTCAAATGGACACCCAGAGAGACACACAGGTGAGTTCCTGGCATGGAGAGAACACAGCCCTCTCTGCATCTCAAGACACAGGTCACCCCAGGGCTTCCCGCCATGGGACCGGACACTCCCCAGAGGGGGTGTGCGCACGGCTCTCAGGAAGGTCAGCCCTCTGCTTCCTGCGACTGTAACCCCACCATGCCGAATGACAGAAAAGCATCACCTTGTTCCGTTAGAAACTCAGACTGCTGGAGGTCTGAGAGAGCATAAAGACGGTGGACTGCTCGACAGAAAGGCACTGATTCTCAGTCTGCAGTCCCACAGGGGCCGGGGGGCCGTGCGCAGCGAGACAGGGTGGGGGTGGTTATTGAGGCAGATAGGTTGGAGACAAAGGGCAGGAGGAAGGGAAAAGAGAAACAAGTTAAGGCGGTTGAGCCCGGTTAATCGGCCACCTCCAAGCAAACCACAAGCGTTCCCTTGCCCAGACCAGACCCAGCGGGGCAGAGGCCTCCCTTTCCCGCTGCCCCGCCATCCTCATGGTTAAGGGCGGCCACGCCACGGAGCTCAGGGTGAAGTCGTTCACAAACACCCACTCACTCCTGAGTGCTGCCAGTGCTGAGTCGACAAACACCCACAAAGGAGGGAATCACCAGGAGCCGGGGTGCTGGGCTCAACGTCTTAAATTGGCGCAAGACTTCTTTCTAAGAAAGCTCGCCGACCCCACCGGGGCCGGGGCCTGGGCCTGAAGTGTGCGAATTAGCCTCCTACCTGCACATCCCCCCACCTTCGCTCAGCAGGGAAGACGTGAGCCCTGCAGGAACTGCCCTGCCTGGGCTTCTGCACAACCAGCAGGATCTCCCTTCTCTTCACAGGGGCTCTGCACCTCCAGAGGCAAAATCAGGTGGGGGGATGGGGGGGTGCCCTCCCTGAGGTCACAGGGTAGGGGATGGGAGACATGCCTTCCCTGAGGTCACAGGGTGGGGGGATGGGGGTGTGCCCTCCCTGAGATCACAGGGGTAGGGGGATGCTTCCTGAGCAGGCCACAGTGGTTTTGAGAAGCTTTGAGTGACATGTGCTGATGGGGCATTCTGCATACGTCGCTTCTTTCCTGAACCCACAATTCAGCCTGTTGGCCTCAATTTGAGGTTGGGGAAAATAAGTGAGCCTAGAAATCACCAGAACTTCCCAATATAAATGCTCAAGTTTTGGGCCACATTCACTATCCCTAAAACTAATACAGTTTTACCACCAAAGTAACGATTAATTAAAAAAACTTTTTTAGATTTCCGCAAAAGAATTTGTCATTTGTGTTGGCTTAATCCTTCTCTCTCGACCATTTTCTATTTCAGCGGAGTAGCTGTTTGGATCTAAACATGGGTAGTCTTCAATCTCATCTACCTCAATGTTTTAAAATCCTATATGGAGGCCTGCTTGGGATTCTCTCTCTCCCTCTCTCTCTCTCCCTCTGCCCCTCCCCTGCTTACTCTCTCTGTCTCTCTTGAAATAAATAAACTAAAAAAAAAAATCCTATATGGTGTCATGAAATTCAATAGTAATACTTGGACCTATCACATTTCCAAACACAACCTTTCCTGCTGTCCTTACAGGGATCACAGTGCCTGTTTGGGGCTGGACACTGGGGACCACGCCCCGCCCCGCCCCACACCGTCCCTCCCCCTGCGAGCAGCCAGTACCTGGACTTTCTCTGTGGCGCTGGGCCACAGCTGCCTGCACAGGACTTTCTTGAGAACGTCGGGAAGGAGGCTGACAGTGATGAGCAGGATGATGACCAGCCAGGCAGGGCCGCTGGACAACATCTGGATGAACACAAAGTACATCCTTTGATAACTGAGGAAGGGCCTGCAGCACCAAGGACACGAGAAAAAGGACAGATTGGCAGGTCAGAGGTCATTGGGAGGACGCCAAAACCGCAGCCTGTTTGCTCTGCTGGCACGAAGAGCCCACCTGTTCAGGGAGCTCTTACTGTTGTCACCGATACTCATCGGCCCAGACCCCTGGCCTGTGTGCTGACTACTCACAAGCAGTGGCTGCAGGGCCTTAAGGAACAGGGGAGGAGGGAGGGATTCTAGGGAGTCATCCCACAGCCAGAGGAGAGCCCTGCAGCGGTCAGGACTGGAAAAAAGATTTTAAAAAATTAAAATAGGTGGTTTTTCTGTTTTGCTTTGTTTTTGTATCTTAGAATCATAACCTGAGCAAAGGCTATTAACACACAGAAGGTGGGGCACCTGGGTGGCTCGGTCAGTTGAGCATCTGACTTCGGCTCAGGTCACGATCTCGCGGTTAGTGAGTTCGAGCCCCATGTTGGGCTCTGTGCTGACAGCTCGGAGCCTGGAGCCTGTTCGGATTCTGTGTCTCCCTCTTTCTCTGCCCCTCCCCTATTCATGCTCTGTCTCTCTCTCAAAAATAAATAAACATTAAAAAAAAATCTTTAACCATGCAGAAGGCAAGTGTGGGTTCTGGTCAGCAGAGCCAGCTAAGTACCCAAGGCTCATCCTGTGAACAAATTGGCATCTTTTCTACAAAAACAGCATGAAATGGCCTCGTTCCCAGGCAAATCCAGAATTCAGAGAAAACATCTACATTGGGCTCCACGAGAGAAGCCAGAAGGAACCCACAGTTAACGTTCTGGCGGTGACCCTGACTTAGTTCCACCATTCTTACACCTACTGCCTGTGAGCGGGGCAGACATACTCTCAGGGTTAAACGTGGACCAGCACAGACCGTGAGCTGGAGGCAGGCGGGCTGGAAACCACCAGAAGCCCATCCAGCTCAGCACTTGCGGGTCCCCAAGAACATGCAGTGCAAAGATCTGGCCACTAGAGGCCAGCAACACTCCCAGAGGCGGGGGGCGAGAGGGGGCATTGTCCCCCAGGGGCCACCTGCATCATCCAGAGCTGTGTTCAAAGCCAACACGTGGAGGGGAGAGGATGGCCCGTTGAAGGCACTCCCAGGTCACGGCCCTCTGTACCCCCCTGTCCCACGCATGTTCAGGAAATGTTCGTGCTTACAGGGAGGTGGGGGGCACACAGGAGAGTTATAGAAAATACAGCATGCGCTGTGACGGGATCAGGGACAGAGGCTTAGGTGACCATGTCGGACTGCCCCGCCTGTGTGCTGGTTCAAGGGAAGCATCAAGGAGGACGATGACCCACAGGGTTTTGAAGGATCAGTAGGAGCTCACCCAGTAGGCTAGTTGGAAAGGACATTCTGGGCAGAAGGGACAGCATGACACAGGTGTGCCCCTGAAAGCACCAGAGCAGATGCCCGCCCCATCAGGACGCACCACGCCAGCATCACAACTTGCCGGCTTCCCTGCAGGTTGACTGTCCTGCTCATGTTTAATTCACAGGCTTGTTTTCAGCACGGCAGCCACAGCGGTCTTCCTGTAAAAGCACGGGGCCCCAGGCCAGCCCCGCCGGCTCACCCGAGACACTGGCCGTCACTGCTGGCATGGGGGATGCCGAACGAGCCAGGCCTGCCAGCCTGGGCCCTGTTCCAGGAAGCACGGAACATGTGGGACCCGTGATGAGGAGGGTGACCTCCTCCCAGGTTCCCGTTTCAGTAACAACTTCTTCAGAGAAGACAGGCCAGGCCTGCTGTCTGGACCAGGTTCCCTGCCAAGCACCCCGGTCTCGCTCATCCCGGCCCGATCGGGAAGCACTCCTTGCGTCTCCCCACGGAGAGCACGGGCCAGAGAAGGGGGGAGCACTAGGCCTCGCTCCCCCTGCTGTCCCGGGCCCCAGCGCTGTGACTTGCCACAGGAACGTCGTGTAGAAAATGCATAAGAGCCCTGGAAGGGAGCATGCGCGGCATGGGGAACGTTTCACCCAGGTCATACCAGATAATCCCTCCCCAGAGGAGGGAGAAGACAACGTAGAACAGCAGTGACCCCCAGATGACAAAGTGGTTTATCCAAGTCCAGTAGTGCGTATCTAGTGCCAGCTGGAAGAAAGAAAGAGGTCGTCAGTCAGGCTGGTACCCGGGCATGCCGGAAGGAGCCGTGACAGCTGGGACCGCGAGCTGGAAAATAACGAGGAAAACACACAAACTGCCACCAACTTCATTTTAGCCAAAACGCCCACATAAAACCGCTTAGGATAAAGAGAACCTTAGGCTTCGAGAGAGAAAGAAGGTAACCACGGCCCACATCCCGGGGAGGCTGCCCCTGCGTGTTTCTCAAACGGGGAGGCCCCAGCGGCACAGTCACCGTGGTGGTTGTCACTACTAGGGAGCTCCCTGGTGGGCTTTGTGCCACGTGAAGACTCGGGCAGATGGTGGGAGGACACACAGAATGGTACCGCATACAGAATCTGGCTTGACCAGGCACACCTGGGGGCTCTGTCGGTTAGGTGTCCAACTCTTGATTTCGTCTCAGGTCATGATCTTACGGTTTGTGGGATTCAGCCCCATGATAGGCTCTGTGCTGACAGCGCTGAGCCTGCTTGGGATTCTCTCTCCCTCTCGTATCTCTCTCTCTGCCCCTCCCCCACTCATGAGCGCACACACGCACTCGTTCCCTCTCTGTCCAAATAAACTAAAAAGAAAAAAAAGAAAAAAGAATCTGGCTTGACTTTAAAAAGACTGAGTTTTCTACAACACATTGTTTTACAATCTTTTTAAAAAGTGTTTATTTATTTTTGAGACACAGTGCAAGTGGGGGAGGAGCAGAGAGACAGAGAGAGAAAGAGAGAGAATCCCAAACAGGTTCCACACTGCCAGCGCAGAGCCCAACGCGGGGCTCGATCCCACAAACTGTGAGATTGTGACCTGAGCTGAAGTTGGTCACAACTGACTGAGCTGCCCAGGAACCTCCAACACATTAATTTGTTTTAAAGTAGATTTTAATTATATCGGGGAGGGGGAGAGCTGCTTGTCATTGGAAAGAATTCTGATCTGACTCCTTTTGGAAAGAAAAGGCTCATTCCCTCATTTACCTCCGGTGTAATTCTGGAAGCTCATGTATTGGGTGGCCCTGTGTGCTGTTGTGCACTTGACTTATTTAAATGACCGACGATCACCCCTGGGCGGCCCAGGAGCTTGCCTGAGCTGCGTGCATGGGGCTCCCACCCTGGCCACAGGTTACGACAGGTGGGGTGGCATATTCTAGCAGGGTCCACTGTAGCTGGAGAAGGCTCACCTTTAGTGTGACCGTAAATACCATCACAGTGAACACCAGTGTCCCGAAGGTCCAGTTTCCAAATATCTGTGGGGAAAACAGTCCAAACGGTGTCTAGTCAGTACACACGATTCCCTTTTCACACTCAAAACCAGAGTGTTAGATGACACATCTCACCGCTCTTGCGTGCCAACACTCCAGACCCCAAAGCTACAGGGACTTTGTTACTCCAAGGGCGAGAAAGTGGCAGTACACGGTACCCCGGGCACCCCAACCCTGGGGTCAGGCCAGCGGTTTGGGGCTCAGAGCCCTTCCTGCATGGGCCCCCCGCCATCGGCCCCTCGCTGCTCCACGAACGCTAAGAGTGAGAAGACACCAGAGCCGGGAGGGGGGGTGTGCACAGCGCTTCTGTCCCGGGTTCATGGGGAAGACATGCTCCCCGGCTGCCAGCTCTGGCCTCACGCACGCTCAGGAAGAACTCAGGAGACCTGCCTGTTCTCTCTCAAACTCGACTCAAACACCTGCCTGCTTTGGAAGAAAAACCACCACAAGAACGGCTTGCGGGTGAGGTAACCACGTCACATACAGTGACACTGTACAGACGGGGTTGCCCCTGGAAAGTCACAGGGAAGGGACAAGTGCAGGCAGACAGGACAGAGCTGCACAGAGGTCCCTGGCAGCCAGCGTGGCGGGCCCGGCTTTCCGCCCGCACGACACGCAACTGAGCCACCTGTGGCGAAGCACAGGGTCAGATCACGGAAACGACACATTTCTCAGCTACAGACACAGACACAGAAAACGAACTGCGACTGCCAAGCCTCCTCTTAGGGAAAAGTCAGCCCAGGGCAGGTTTCCTTGTGCAGGACTGATGCTCTCACTGCCCGAGAACTGACCCCCTCCTGGGCCCTGTGAACTATGCATCTCAGAAAACGCTCCTAGCCCGTCTTTTGGAGGAAACAGCTTTGTTTCACGAAGAATTAAAATGCTAGACGACAAACGGCCTTCTGTCCCGGTTCGTCTTCAGCCAAAGACACGGCCCCCACGCGATTCAGTGGGGTGAACACGCGGGCTGGCCTCGCGCTACGTTTAGTGAGGTGGGAAGCTACTGGCAGGACTTGAGGACAAGCAGAGCGTCAGGACTCTGTGCAGGAAACAGGCCGCCCACAGAGCCCACCGGTCCCTCACCGGGATGCAAGGAGAACTGACGCAGGGCTCCTGCCTGGAGGCCATCGTGCCCCAGGGGACACCTGCACTGTCCCTAGACTGTGTCGGCTGCCGCAGGGGGTGGGGGTGGGGGTGCAGGGCTACCAGTGTCCGGCGGGTCCGGACAGGGGTCTGCTAACTGCACGGGGCTCCCTGGCCCCAAAAGGCAATAGCGCCCAGACGAGAAACTCTGATCGGAGCGTGGCCTCATCAATGCTTAACTTCTGGGGGGGCAGCAAACGTTTTAAACTCTGAGACGGGTCACAGCGTGGCAGCTGTCTACGTGCCCGGTCGGCAGGGTGTTTGGTTTTCACTAGAAGCTAACGGAAGGGGTGGCCTGTGGCGGGGCTGGGGCAGCCAGGGCCCGGAGCTGTGCGTGGGCCCACCCGCGGGACCTGGCAGGAAGGCCGCCTCCGCTTCCTGACACTGGGCCCCACGCCTGCAGCCCTGCTTGGCAGGAAACACGGCAATCTCTGTGTAAAGCGTTGGCCAACAGCCAGACGTGCGAGTGTGAGCGTGCACCACAGGGGGACGGGGTCCCACTGCCTCCTCAGAGTCGGTAGATCCCTACGTCTGCTAACGATGGCAGACCGGGGCTATGAGTCACGGCCCCCCGTGCCTCGTGCGCTAACACGCGTGGGCCTCAGCTGTAATTTTTACAGGCAAACGATAGCAAAACACAACATGTTGACTCCTGAACAGGAGTTTGGCTGAGGGCCCTGGCAATGAGGACACACCTGCTCTACCTTCACCGTGTCCTCAGCAGGCAGCTTGGGACTCACTGGTACAGTCATGGTGACAGCTCGGTGAACACCCTCCTCACTACAGATGGGAGTCCGCGGGCTAACTGCTAATAGTGCATTTATTGCTGAAGTTCTCTGTCCTCATTCTTAGGGACCGTGGGGGCCGGAGGTGGGAAGGCCCAGGACAGGAGTCCTCAACACGAAAGGGTGCCCAGGGCGTTTGTCTCCTGAATGCCCGATCTGTCCCCCACCCCCCGACAGGGACTTCCTAGTCCTGTTTGGATGACACTGAACGCCCAGGAGGGCACCTCCAAGCCTCCTGCGGCCCCAGACCCTCACGCGCCCTCTGTCCCCTGAGGAGCATCTTGGAGGAAAGCGTTCTGCTCAGAAAAGCCCTCAAACCAGGACCAACTTAATTTTCATGTGTAAAAATACCCACAACAAACATAACTGTTTTCTCAAGATCACGGTCATGAAAACACCGTCTACATGCCCCCACACACGGACTCCCTGCCTCTAGCCCGTGTGCAATGTTCACTGACTTGTGTTACAAAGCACTCCAGCCACGAGGCTCATCTGAGAACAGCCTGCTTGTTGCTCGACAGGAATAAGTTAATTAGGGTTCAGTGTTCTCGGTGGGACCAGAAGGAGAAATGATTTCGGTTCACGTATCAGTGTAGAAAATGCTCCGCAAGTGAATTTTTTTTAAAAAAGTTATTGATGACTGTTTCCTCAATACTACACGTGATTTATAAATGCTCCCACAGAATGATGTACATCTTAAAAAAGGGTCCTCACCTACCAACAGCCAACGGAAAGGGGCTTCTGAGAGGTAACACCATGAGATGCGTTCCAACCATGGAGGGTGTGTGGCCAGAGATGCGCATTACCATCACCAAACCTCTGCTGCCCAAGGACCAAGGGCGTCATCAGTCACCAGAGATGGCCCCTCGATGCACATGGGTTGTTCAGGTTTATGTGAATTGCCATAGAACCAGGCTATCTATGATACCATCTTCAGTCTTGTGGGTGATCTAACCCTCTTACCTCCAAAGCAAACAAGAATTTAAGAAAACCGTCTCAAACCAGGAAAGCTCCATCTGGAGATAAAGAGGCACAAGGGGGTCCAGCACTGGAACAGCAGACGCTTAACCTCGGCCTTGTGCTTGTGTGGAGTGGCCTTGGCCATTCCAGCCTCCCGGGGACCCTGTCCTCCTAGTGACGCAGGATGGAGATGTGTACCCTGGGCCCCTTGCAGAGGGGCCCCACTCATGACCGAGGACGCCGTGATCATACCATCGCACTCCCACAGCTCTGGTCTTGGCTCCCCACCATCTACACAGAGCTACTGAACGGCAAAAGTTCACCTCTCAAATGTGTAACTGCGGACAAACACCTCATGTTACAGACCTTGTCTGGCACCATTGGCCCTGTGCACTGGTTCATAGTTTCCCCAGGCTTCTGAGCGGCTTTTCATAGGACGAGACTTCCATTACGTGGTTGGACCTTTGTCCCAACGGGCCAGCAAGCGTGGCCGAGGGCGGGCCCGGGAAGCTCTGAGCCAGTGAGAGGCAAGGCACCTGCTGGGCTGATCCGGGATGGAGTGGTGGGGACAACCACGCTTTCTGTTTTCGTCTCTCTTTCTGTCCTTGTTTCAAGTCGAACGAGCAGCACTGTGCGCTAACAGATGGCTGAGCAGAGGTGTGCCCTGGTAGTGGGGGACGTAAAGGCACTGCGGGAAAGCCCCGGCCTGGGAGTCAGCTTCCAGGCTCCGGGGGGTTCAAGGCCCCTGAGGACACAGGAACCACGCAACTGACCATGGCGGCATGAGCAGCCGCCACAGAACTGACCACAGTGGCACAAGCAGCTACCATGGAACTGACCCACGGAAATGACCATGGCGGCACAAGCAGCTGCCACAGAACTGACCACGGTGGCATGAGCAGCTGCCACGGAAATGACCCACTGAACAGACCCATGGAGGCACGAGCAGCCGCCACGGAACTGACCACAGCAGCACGAGCAACTGCCAAAGAATTGACCCACGGCTGCATGAGCAGCTGCTGTAAGGTTTGGTTGGAAGCACATCAGGGCTCAGGGATTTGAACATGAGGAGGGGACACTGCCCAGGCCTCACCAGGGACCTGCAGCTCAAGGCCATGCCCATTAACCAGCAGGTACCAGGCTGCACACATCTTTTTGTGTGTGTCCATCGCCCACTGAAATCGCTCCGACCGTGCTGCCTAGGAGGCACCTATCGCTCTAAGCCCCATCGAGACGAAGGCAGCTGGGCATGGCACGAACAAAGTAACGCCTGAGTCTTGCGCAAACACCCTGCTTTGAGTGCTTGCGTGTGTGTGTTCCTGTGTCTGATCTCTAGCCCCCTCCATGTTAATGCCAAGCAAACACAGTGGCACTGGGTGAGGGGCCTTTTCGCGGGACCCACAGGCCACCTCGGTCCTGGCATCTCTGAGTTCTTCCTAAGATATGTGCGACACACTTCGTTAGGGCCCAGCCTGCGAGGAAGTGTTGTAGAGATGCCAGGGAATGAGGACAGCTCCGTAACTACGCTGTGGCCCAGTGATGTCCAACAGTTATTCGCGTCAACTGAGGCAACAAATTCTAGAAAAGCATAAGGTTTCAGAAGAGCAAAATCAGACATTTAAAAATCTTTCAAAATTGATTTAGTAAAAACTTGATCTGAGCTACGATGAGAGGTAAGGAGAAGGAAAAAACAGATCAGTCACCAGGGAGAGGACAAGTGGGCACAGTGGGCGGGGAGGGTGCACTCCTGAAGGAACGAACCAGAAACAAAGTGGGGAGGAGGTCCAGGTACTCAGCTGAGGAGGGTCTGCCCCAGACACCACCACTGGGGCCAGTGCGGCCACCAGACCCGGGAGGTGCTATGGTGGGGATGGCCCTGAGGTGCGTCCACGCGCCCCGGTGCGCCCCCGAGGCCCGGGTCTGCCACACTTACAGCAATGTCTCCACTGCGCCTCCCGGGCCTGGGACGGTGCCTCACACTTACGCAAAGTTCGGACATATAAAATCAACTTAAAGAGTGTCACTGAGTCGGCCGGCAGCCGTGACACGGACCCCCCCTCCCTCACCGACCCGGGAGGAAACACCACGTACAAAGGACCAAATGCAGACACACCGGCCTGACGCGGCTCCAGCCCCGAACTGGAAGCCAGCAGCAGCTAACACCATTTCTACCGACAAAGCACACAGAAGAAGTCACATTTCAAAATATTTCGAGAAATATTTTATTTTTAGCGCACTCCAAAACATACAGACAAACCCACAGTTTCTTACCATGTGTGTGTTGGTGGTCATTATCTGAGAGTGGGGAGGGAAGCGAGTGGCAGAAAGAAAAAAAGCAAAGATACCAATAAAACAACCCCCAGAGATGATGCGAACACCCAGAGCCGAGCGGCCACTAGAAAACGCTAACTCCTCACCGCGAGGGGAACAGGTCCTTAGGTGCGCATGTGGGAAAACACACTACACTGTGCCAACTACAGAATTAATCCCCAAAGGAAATAAGAGGTGCCGGCACGACCGGATTAGCGCTGGATTCGCAGCTAATGGGACGTGCAGATTACACTGGGTCTGATCTCGGAGGGGGCTTCCCACAGGGGCAGCGCTCCGCAGAGCCCAGCATGGCCTGACGTGCCACGACCCTGGAGCGACTTGGTGGAGAGGTGCCCGAATGCCAGGAGCCCCACCGGCTATGCTGACCCGTGCCCGCCCGAGTCCCCAGCAGCCAGCAAGATGCGGCTCTGCACTCACCTGCCCGTTGCTGGTCACCGTTGTGTTTTCAAACATGAAGTAAGCACCAAAGAAAAACACCAGGGCATCAAACACTCCCAGGAACGTCCAATAAATGAACACGCGCCAGCGAAGGAGTGCATTCTTGGCGATATCTCTGTGTGAGCAAACAGAGGAGAACGTGTTTCAGGAGAACCAGGCTCACATAATGACCGGGCCACCCCCAGGCTCTGTAGGGACCATCTGTCCAGAAGGCCCCCCTGTGTCACTGGACTGTTCCAGGCTGCACAGCCGGCGGGCTCAGCCAAGCTATGAAACTGGGTTATGGGGTAGTGGGCCCAGTGCCAGGGTCCGGGTCTGGCTGTGGTCGCCCCGCCTGTGCAGGTCTTTCCCCATCTGCCTGACACCCTGTGCAGTCTGAGTCTGACTCTGCCAACAATGTTGGAGTACAGCTCCAAAAAAGAAGAAAAACATCTTTTCCTTATTATTAAAAAATAGTTTTTAAGCAAAAAAGAGCACTGTGAGATCAAATCTGTTAACTTTTCTTTTTATCTCGCTGAAGGGAACATACCTGGATTTTTAAAAAATTTTTTCTAATGTTTGCTTATCTTTGAGAGAGACACAGAGTACGAGCAGGGGAGGGGCAGAGAGAGAGGGAAACACAGAATCCGAAGCAGGCTCAAGGCTCTGAGCTTTCAGCACAGAGCCCGACGTGGGGCTCGAACTCACTGACTGTGAGATCATGACCTGAGCCGAAGTCAGATGCTCAACTGACTGAGCCACCCGGGTGCCCCCGGTTTTTAGTTTCTTTTTTTTTTTTTTTTTTTTATAATTTTTAAAAATGTTTTTATTTATTTTTGAGACAGAGAGAGACAGAGCATCAGTAGGGGAGGGGCAGAGAAAGAGGGAGACACAGAATCCAAAGCAGGCTCTAGGCTCCGAGCTGTCAGCACAGAGCCCGACGCGGGGCTTGAACCACGAACTGTAAGATTATGACATGAGCCAAAGTCAGACAGTTAACTAACTGAGCCACCTAGATGCCCCAGAACATACATGGCTTTTTAAAGGATAATTTAGGCTATAAACGCACTGGGGTCACGAGGGGAAAGAAGTCATCCCAGCTCCTTCCGGAACTGCTGAGAAACAGGTGAGGTACAAACTGACTTACTATGCACGTTTCAAACGCACCATGAACCCTCTACCTAAATCGTCCACTTCAGGTATGTCGCTTTCTCCTGCCAGGGCTCCCGGTGCAGCGAGTGTAGCTGCTGAGGCTGGCGCTGCTGGTGGCTAAGTGCTGTGTGGCACCTGTCCCGGGGGCTTGTACCTGTACAGGGAAGGGTCCCTCCTAAGTGTGTCTATGCTGACATGCTGCTCCATCAGGCTATACAGGAGAATCGGGAGGGACGTAAAGCTGATGTTGTACAGGGTCAGGTAGGCAGTGTCATACAACGTCTGCAGGAAGGACAAAGTCACACTGAGAACAGCACCCTGGGCCTCTCGACAAACTTTTCTGATGGTTTTTCAATTTGCAAACACCCAGAGACACGAGCATTCTAGAATGCACACAGAGCCATGCTTCTGCAGCTACAGACAGCCGGATGCTTGTCAACCCTTCCTGATGTCAACTGTCGTGTTAAAACCACGGCTGACCCAGGCCTGACTGGGACCCACCCCACTCAGCCACCGCAAGGTGTTGCTTAAAAGTTGGCAATTTTGGTGGCCATCTTCAAGCTTCAATCTTCCCCATCCCAGCCCCTCTGCTGGAAACAAGTAAGTGATGGAAAGGGGGTAGCCGAGGGGCCGCTGCTCTCCTTGGCCAGGCGAGACGGCCTCCAGCCGGCACACCCGAGTGTGCAGATGTCGATGGTGGGGCACCCGGGAGAGGGTCTCAGATGCCGACTGTGTCCTCTCAGGGCAGAAAGTTAGGGCTTTTGTGGACGGTGAGCATGGGTGGGGCACATGGCTGGCAGGCTGGCATAGCCACTGGGCCACCACGGCTCCTGAACCCGCCACAGGGTGCTGCCACCGCTGACCAGCTCCCCCTGAGGCCTGCCCACCCCTGCGGCCTGCTCACCCCCCGCGGCCTGCTCCCCCTGTAGCCCATTCCTCCCCTGCGGCCTGCTCCCCTGCTACAGTCTGCTCACCCCTGCAGCCACCCCCACGGGGAGGGAGGTACGGCCCATCTGACCTCAGGCAGTTGGACTCACCTGTTGTGAAAACCCACAGAAGAACTGGTATAAAAACTGAGGGAAAATGAAGCAGACGTTCTGAAAGGGAAGCCACATCCCGGTTAGTTCAGTGGCAGCCATGAGAGGCTCTCCCTCCTAAGCCGTCCACGTACTGAACCTTCCCTGCAGGCAGTGACCCAGGGCGCCCTGTACTCTCACGAGAGGGGTGAGGGCTTCTGAAGCCTACTCTTATTTTCAGGGCACAAAGCACACATTCTGGTCCCTCTGTTAAAAGAAACATGAATGGAAACTGGTTGCAGAGGCAGGAGAAAGCAACGTGGGCGTGAGTATGACCAGGGCCGAGTCCAAGCACAAGATGGAGGACTCGTGCAAGAACGTCCTCCTCGTGGCCACGTACAAGCGCACGTTATCGGTTCCATGATCGATCTGTGCGTGCGGGCGAGTGCCCGCTTCCTCCTTAGAAGCAAGGTCAGTGCCTCCCTGTCAGACCGTCCCCGTGGTCCCTGCAGCACCTGACAGCCACACACTGCCCCGTGTGGGTGACCCGGCACGGGAGCCCTTCCTACCTTGTAGAAGAAGTATTGCACGAGCTCAGATATCCTGATGTAATATAAATGCCCGTGAACAAGCAGCATCTTCTTCAAGTGCTTAAACTTCGGAATGGCGTAGTCACTGTTCCTTGCGGCCTGGCGGCCTTCCTTCCCAATGACACCTGCCAGAGAAAACGCTGTCTCAGCACCCCGACGGAAAACAGTGTGGAGCGAAACAAGGTGCAAGCGAACACGGGCCAGGAGACACCCCGCACCACACGGTGCTCTGTGCCTGAGCCCTGGTCCCACCTCTGGCCCCTCCTGCCTCACTGGCCAGGCATACAGGGCTGGGGCACACGGGCAGCTCACCTATGCCCACATGGGCCTCCAGGATCATGCTGACGTCATTGGCACCGTCTCCGATGGCTAAAGTGATAGGGTGCTCTTTTGAAAGTTTGATTAATTTAACAATCTGGAAAACAAACAGAGGCAGAATTTATCTTCTCTGTTTTCTGTGTGGGTTATTCACTAACTAGGCAGAAATAATGCAGATGTAAAGTTACATAAGGAGAAGGAAGCGACGATCTGGCTCGAGTGCACGGAGTAGTTCAATCCGTTTTCTCCACAGGGGATGAAATCCCTTTCGTGTTGGGCAGAACTAAGTAAAGACAAGGCAGCTGAAGTGGAGTTACGAGGAAGTAACATGGGAAAGGCTGAAGACGGAAACAGGAAGTAAATCCAGTAGTTCCTGGTTCCTGCTACACGTGCGGCTTTAAACATATGGGATGCGATAAACTTGTAGGAAAAACCTAAAGGTTACATCCTGTCGGATGATACAGCCATTCCAAGCTATCTGGTATCCAGCATCGATTTCTCACAGATAGGCTGCTTCTGATGCTATTTTCATTGTCAAAGTTGTTGTGTGTGCAAATCCAATCTGGCAATTCGATGCAATTAATAATTTTAAGTGCGTAGGCCATTTTTCTGTAATCTTTCTCTCCGTTTACGTGTCTCAGAGCAGCAGTTCAAGTAGACCAAAAATGATAAGGAGTAACATGTGGAGCCTGTTCGGATTCTGTGTCTCCCTCTCCCTCTGCCTCTCCCCTGCTCACGCTCTCTCAAAAATAAATGAATGTTTAAAAATTTTTTTAAATAATAATGTGGGGGAGGGAATACTTTCGGCTAAAATGTGTATTTTTTGTTGTACAATAATACTATAGAGGCACTTGGGTGGCTCAGCTGGTTAAGCATCCGACTTCGGCTCAGGTCACAATCTCGTGATTTATGGGTTTGAACCCCGAGTCGGGCTCTGTGCTGACAGCTCAGAGCCTGGAACCTGCTTCGGATTCTGTGTCTCCCTCTCTCCCTGCCCTCCCCTGCTTGTGTTCTCTCTGTCTCTCCCTCAAAAATAAGTAAACATTAAAAAAAGATACCCCACCCCCCATCACAAATCAGAGCTGGCTGGAACCAGTAGCTCCTGGCGCTGACCCCCACCCCAGCGGCTGTTGGGGCCGCACCTGGGCCTTCTGCAGGGGCGCCATGCGACAGCAGAGCACAGCACTGCAGTTCCGGCAGATCTCAAGGAAGAGCTCCCGGTAGTTCCCACAGCTCCCGTCCTCCCTGGGCTTCATGATCAGAGACAGCGCGGCTCCATCAATGATGAGACCGTGGTCCTGCATGTCCGCCGAGAGTCTGTTTAATCACACAAACCAGAGACGTGACTCAGTAGCTAGGTCCATAGATTCTACCAGACTACGTCAGTTTTCCGAATATCTACAGAGGTTATAAACTGATGATCGAAGGATCAAGAAAGTGGTAATCCGGTTTTACCAGCAGCCTCTAGAGTACCAGACATGACACCCTTGAGCACATTTTAAAGTTGGGTTTCAATTAAACATTCTCATGCCCCCTAGGCAGAGCAAACAACGAGTTCTCACTGTGGTTTCACATGCCTGTTCCAGCACTTTTCCACAACAGATGGAGAGTGCACATCTCGTGGCCGGCACAGGTCGGTGTTTATCCCCAAAGCCCCACTACGGCGGCGGGGCCGTGGCCTCACAGCTGACCTCTACGGGCATCCCGTCTGGAGGACAGGGCTTGGGAGGAGCATAGTCAGAATGGGTTCTTTTGCTAGGTTTCCACGTTACGAGAACACCCCCATTCCCCCCAGAGGGGGACCCACAGACCAGGTGGAGGGAAACATCTTTGCTCTGCTTCTGAATCATTTAACATTTGCAGGTGATGAGAGCTTTACTACGTTAATGACAACCTAACAGGACTCGAATGCCCTCTGACCGCAGATCATGGGTCTGATACCAGCAAGGACAGCGTGGGTTAAGACGTGAATAAAATGCTGAGCATCCTTGGAAAAAACAACTCTCAGGTATATCCTGTTTTCTCTTAGCAAACAAGCACGCATTATTAACATTTCTCTCTTCGCTCTGGCAGATGCCCTGAGGAATCCACAATATAGCCCCCGAGTGGCTTACAGGCAGATGAGAACCATCCCACCCCAGTGGTTTACAATCAGGCCCTTCTGCACCCTTCAGCAGAAGTTTGAAAGTGAACACACACACACTCACAGACACACACACACACAGACACACCCATGGACACAGAGAGACACACTCAGCCATGGAAATACACACACAGAGACATACTCTCAGACACATTCACACACACACTCACACACTCATACACACAGGGACACGTACACAGACACACTCAGACATGGAAACACAAAGACATACACACAGATGCGTACTCACAGACACACAAACAGACACACCCGTGGACACTGAGAGACACACCCAGACATGGATACACACACACACAGACATACAGACACACACACATGGACACACACACAGACACACTCAGACATGGATACACACAGACACACACACAGATGTGCACTCATGCGTACTCACACACACACACACACACACACACACACACACACCCCTCTTCTGCAGAAAGACACGTCACAGCTACTATGAAGAACTAGCCTTGGCCTCATCCCGCTGTTCACGGTGACCACACGAACGTGCGATGATGCCCAGGGACAGACCCATGCGGTCCACAGGGGCACCGAAGCCGGGCCCTGCTAGTGGAGGGGATGGGGCACCGCCTACCCTGAGAAGTTGTCCCTGGTTAAGCTCCCACTGTGGCGCAGGACGGTCTTGCTCAGCTCAAACAGGACGTCGTGCAGACTCTGCTCCTCTATCTTCTTGGTGGTGAGCTCGAGCAGCTGTGTGTTCCTCCTGAACAGTTTGCAGGCGTAGCAGGTGGCGGCCGCCGTCTCCATCTTGTCCCCAGTGAGGACCCAGACTTTGATCCCCGCCTTCTGCAGAGCCTCGATGGTATCGGCGGCTTTCTCCTGGAGCCTGAGCAAAGATGAGACCCGCAATTGTGCGTGTGACAAAGGCAAATCGAAGCCGAGAGTTTCAGACTTGCGACCCGTGAAGCTATCTTTGTTGGCCCAAAACTAAGAAGCATCAGGCCACTAGCTTGTCATCTTACCAGGAAGGGCCAGATAAGCGGATATCTTTTGCCAGGAGAGCACTTCCTAACTCCCAAGACAAACACTCATGGCGTATCAAGTTAAGCGTCTGTCGTGCACAATTCCCATCAGGTAAGCCGGCACTGTCTAGCTGGGACTTCCCGCTTACAGAGGGCTTAATCAATTACAAGAAGGACCGTAACCACCAACAAAGTCTTGACCAGAAAAAACGGGGTCAGGAAAAGAGGTGGTCAGTAAGTGTCACGGTCTTTTCCTTTGGGGTGAACTTGGAATTCTGCCACTGGTCATGCTGGAGCCTCTAAGCGATGTGTGATACCGACAATGCCAGCAGGGGATCCTCCATAATTAACCCCCTTCTACGCGCAAACCCAGAGCGCACAGGGTTTACACGATGTGTACAAGGTTGCACGGCTCTGACCACATTGGTCAGGATCTTGCTGGGCCTGGAGGCCTGGTTTCAAAGCCACGTCTGCCTTATCTGGGCCCCGCCATTCTTCCCAGATTTTAGAGTCTGGGCTTTCGACGGGCATATGAAGTAGTGTGCCGTGACCCTGTCCGGGACTGGATGAAAAGGGCAGACAGGATTCTAACTGGAGTGACCCGATTACACCGGGGGTAAGCTTCCCTGCTAAGGCCTCTAGCCCATCCAACCTCAGCAGTCCAGAGACAAGAGAAAACATCTCTAATTTCTTTGGTTTTCAGCAGAGTCGGTCAGGGTTTCTAGGGAAATGATTTGCAACTGAATATCATCACTTCAAAGCCACTGGCGCCCACCTGCCCCTGGGCATCTACTCTGTTTTCGAGGTCCCGACTCCCCACAGAGTTACTCTGCTCCCCGGACCCTCATGAGGGTCTGCAGACGCGGCTCCCCCATCCAGACCCTCCTCTCCCTGTACTTCCGGTCCTGAGCACAAGCTACGTTTCCTGTGTTGGTGCCTGAGGCCCTGGTCTGGCCAGAGTCAGGGAAGGAGTTACAGACACAAAATCAAAGCCAAACACATCCCCCAACACCCTGTCAAGATTGGGAAGTCACCGAGTGCTCGTTAAAGACACTGGGAATTGTAGGTTTCCAGTGAGGACTTAAATTTGGGTCCATTTATACCTTAAAGACTCTGAAACTTTATGGGACGTAAACTTCCAAGAAATGCCCGCAAAGTTTCTGCTTCATCCTGTAAATGAGGTATTTTTTCTTTTCCTCTCCTGCTACTCTCTCAAGTCACAACAGCAAGAGACGCCCATGTGTCCGTGCGCGAGGCCTGAGCTCGCCTCAGCCTCGTCACAGAGCGGTGGCGGCTGAGAAGCCCTTCCTTCCGAGTATGGGAAAGTAGTGGTTGGCAATCTCACCAGTTATTGGTAGTGGTTTCTGCAATATTCTACTCCACTGTTCTAAATTTCTTCAATGAGAAATGACAAATACACTGTGTTCGTTAAGATCTAAAATGTGTCACTTGAACTTGGAAAGGACTAGTGACAAATTAGGAAGAGAATTAGTTACTGATGGACTCTACAGAATAATTTAAAAATGACCCCCTCTCTTGACTACCCTGACATCATGTGAAAATGCCAACTTGTCCCTTAGGCCAAGTGTGACTTTCAGGGTCCTTATTCATGTAATTACAACGTGGTCCAGTCACGACCTCCCAGTGACACCACCCCAAGGCCTGCCTGTCCCAATGTGGACACATGTCCCCATGAGGATATCAGGTGCAGTGGCCCGTCCCCTGAGCGTCCATGGGCCCCGATGCCACAGCACACAGCCACCTTCTCCTGAAGACACAGCGTGTCCACTACCTGTCCTCAACAGCCGTGGCACCAAGCAGAATGAGGTCTTTCTCTATTTGCTCGTAGGCCTCCGCCAACTTCTTTTCACGATCCTGAAGGGCCACCTTCGCGGCCTGCAGCAGTGTGCAAACACCTTCATATTCTTCGGGGATCAGCCTTTTGTAGGCAACGCACAGAGTTCGAAGTCCCTCCTGTGGGATACAACGCAGCCTTTATTGCTGAAACGCTGTCTTCTAGTAGCTCTCCCAGTACCCCCTCCCTCTAATTAGAAGAACTATCAGCCAGCCCTCAAAGGGATCAGTCACTTACAGCTGAATTGCATCCCCGTTAAACACAGACAATCATCACAGGTTACAAAACTTCAACGTACGCAGGGGAAGCAGGCACACCCACACCCTGGGAAGAGAAGCCTTTCTTCTTTTATTTCGACAAATGAAGAGTTAAACTTTTTTCAGAACATGATTTGCAATTTTATTTTATTGTAAATATCAAGTGATTTTTCTAAAGCAACAGTTTTTACACAGGGGAGTTTGTGACACAGACTTAGCACCCACTGAAGGAAAAAATGCTCAGTTATTTATCGAACCTCATGGGTCCACAGGACAGAGAAACAGAATCTGAGACAGTGGGTTTACTGTGATGGTAAGTCTGGGTGTCACCACAAAGAACACATGCCAGCAGCCAGCGAGGCTCAGTCGGTGCCTGAAGGGCCACACCGATCCCATCAAGCATTGTTTCCTTCTCATCCCGAGGAAGTGAACCTTCACAAAGGTCTGCCTGATGCTCTGAGGACGACTTCTGGTTGGTCTGTCTGCCTCCTTGTTCTTTCAGCCCCAACTTGCCTAATCCCAGGAAAAGAGCCAGAGTCCTTCTACAATCGGTCCACATTCTGGCAGAATCTTGGTGTGTAAGATTTTTTAAAAGAGTTCCCAGATTATGAGCTCAAGTTGTCCGTCACCACCAGGAAATGCCTCAAGTCTCTAAGACCTTCAAACGTGGCTGAAGGACACACCCACGGAGCGGTCAGCCTCTGTCATCCCCAGAATTCTTCAAACAGTGAGTGTGAACTGTAGGCTGAAGATTCCAGGAATAAAACGTTTGTTTGTAAAAGTATACGGTGCTGGTGTCATGGAGACAGAGTAGAATACCTCTCCGGAGGCCTCCAGCTAAGTGCTGCTGACACACCGGACACTACAAAACAACATAGATATACGAGCAAAGCCAGACAAATGCACTACGAGAAAATTAAAGAACCACGTCTTACAAACACAGATGCAAAAACCCTCCACAAAGTACCAGCAAGATGAATCCAAGAGCACACCCAGAGGCCTACGCCGCAGGACCAAGTGGGATTTACCCCTGGAGGCAAGGATTCGGCACAGGAGCGTCCATCCGGTGACACATATTCACACATCTCAGCAGAATGGAGGCAACCACCCTCACAGCCTCCAACTTTAGAAGTAGAAGGTGGTGCCTGTGTGCCGTGGACACTGCTCGGCTCGCACAGGGACCAGGTGCCGACACACCAGAAAGGCACACTCAGTACCGTTCTATTTACATCACACTCCTAATGATGAAAGCCGCAGATGGCAAACAGACCGAGGTTGGCAGGGCCTGGAAGGGGCCTCGAAAGGGCAGCTGGGCCTGGAAGGGGCCGGGAAGGGGTGGCTGGCCCGGGAAGGGGCGGCTGGCCCTGGAAGGGGCTGGGAAGGGGCGGCTGGCCCTGGAAGGGGCTGGGAAGGGGCGGCTGGGCCTGGAAGGGGCTGGGAAGGGGTGACTGGGCCTGGAAGGGGCCAGGAAGGGGCGGCTGGGCCTGGAAGGGGCTGGGGAGGGGCGACTGGGCCTGGAAGGGGGCCGGGAATGGGCGACTGGGCCTGGAAGGGACTGGGAAGGGGCTGGAAAGGGGCGGCTGGGCCAGGAAGGGGCTGGGAAGGGGCAGCTGGGCCTGGAAGGGGCACTGGGCCTGGAAGGGGCTAGGAAGGGACCGGGAAGGAGCTGGGAAGGGGCAGTTGGGCCTGGAAGGGGTCTCAAAAGGGCAGCTGGGCCTGGAAGGAGTGATGGGCCGGGAAGGGGCTGGGAAGGGGCGACTGGGCCTGGAAGGGGCCGCGAAGGGGCATCTGGGTCTGGTAGGGGCAGCTGGCCTGGGCAAGGGGCAGTGTGACTCTGCACCCCTGCGCGGTGGGCCAGGAAACTGCTCAAGTGACATAATGACCAACGGTTTGGACCAACGCCTGTCCCCGGGCTCTAATACCACACTCCAGTTCGGGAAGATTCGAAGAAATGGGGCACTGGGGAGGGCACAGGGCACCCTCCACACTGTCTCCATGGCCCCCTGGGACTCCACATTATTTCAACGTAGAGTCACAAATGCAGTGGCCCTATAGGTGCCTCCACTCAGGCTTGGACAGTAGGGGGGTTCCTGGGACAGTGACCATGGCAGCCCCTTGAGTCTGCAGAGGACCTGTGAGCATGTGAGGGGACCCCCAGTGCCAGGAACGAATGGTCAGGTCAAGGGGCAAAGCGGTCCTAGAAGTCAGGCTGGAGACCCCAGTCCACAGGGCACCACTGGACAGGACAGCACCTGACGCATGCTAAAGCCGTCATCTGAACAGGGTGAGCCTCTTCCAGAACAAATCCGTGCCCGGAGGGAACACAGGGCAACCCCACACCTAACAAGGCAGCGTCCTCAGGCCGGGTCCCGTCAAAGGCCACCAGCACACGCAAAGGGGCAGAGAGCACTACCCACAATGAGGACATTAAGCACTCAACTGAGGTGAAGTAAAGCCGGCAGCAAGGTCAGAACTAGGAGAAGCCCATGAGACAGCCACTATGACCATGTAACGGACGGCAGCAAGTTACACACAGACACCCATGGAACAAAGGCCCGACATCCGAGAAATCTCCGGGCAGGAAGGGTGGCTGATGAAACCCTGCTCGAGATGTGAGTGGGAGCGAAGACGGGATGACAGAAACTACCCACGACGAGGGAGAAGATGGTTTAAAAAGAAGAGAGCTGGGGAGCACTGGAGCAGCCAGGGAGTCCCAGCTGGAGTCCTGGGAAGGCAGCGGCGGAAGAAACACCTGAAGACACACTGGGTAGGAAATTCCCCAACCTGATTAAGAAACCCGTGAACCAGGGGCGCCTGGGTGGCGCAGTCGGTTAAGCGTCCGACTTCAGCCAGGTCACGATCTCGCGGTCCGTGAGTTCGAGCCCCGCGTCGGGCTCTGGGCTGATGGCTCAGAGCCTGGAGCCTGTTTCCGATTCTGTGTCTCCCTCTCTCTCTGCCCCTCCCCCGTTCACGCTCTGTCTCTCTCTGTCCCAAAAATAAATAAACGTTGAAAAAAAAAAAAAGAAAAAAAGAAACCCGTGAACCCACAGACCCAAGTGCCTGGAGCAGCCTGAGCACAAAACAGGGTCGCTGCGTCAGAGCAGGTTGGGACCGCCTGCCTGACCACGCCATCAGAAGAGGAGATAGATACAGAGAACAGAAACGGGGACAGCGGCCTCCCAGAGCACCAGGGAACACGCATCCGTCCCAAGACACAACACGGCTGTTTCCACAACGGCCCCAAACGGGGAGAAGCCACCCGTGTGTGGAGAGGGAAGTTGGGAAGCCATGCCTGCCGCGCTGCCAGGGACGGTGTCTGTGGGCGCAGACAGCACGGTCCTGATGCGCCCAGGGGGAGAGTCCGGCACCGTCTGAAGGCAGTTGTGAGATGCAGGTGGCCCGGCGCAACCTTAACGCCAGAGGCGAGGCTACGAGGGAAGGACCGTGACATCCATGCTGTGGGCACCGCTTCGGGGGAGGAGCCGGGGCCACGATGATTCCCACAAGGAACCGCTGTCTTGAGGTCGGGGGTTTCCAAGGCGCACTGAGCCGCTGTTTCGGTGGAGCGTGCGGGGTTCCGGCCCGTGGGCCCCCTCCCCCTGAAAGAAGAGGGGCTTGGACGGCGGACCCCAGAAGGGCAGGAGTACCACCAAATCAGCATCCTGGGTGCAGGGAAAACTGTGCGCGCAGAGCCAGTCCTGTTTGATGGCTGTGCCCAGAAGCGCAGCCAGCGTCCCGGCCATCTGTCGTGGGAACAAGGCCTCCCGCCACTTCAGACTTGGTGCCAAAGCGACTCGCTGCCCCTCAGGGTGACCGGCACACCTGTACCAACACGCGTCGCCCCAGAGTCAGGTGTACATGCGCCCTCGGGCGCTAGACAGAAGCACAAACAGGATCCTCGCCTCTGGGCAGCGACACGGCTCAGCCTTCTCAAACCTGCAGCTTACCGCCAGATTCCTGACGGTTGGTGTAGTTGCCCTGCTCGGCCGGCAGGCGTTAGGAGGCACCTGCACGGGAACCTGAAGGTGGAGTCGCGCACTTGGACGGCAGTGCTCAGCCAGGCGGGCATGCCCAGGGCACAGAGGCACCTCCCGGTCACAGACATGTCTGATGCTATGACATCGAGTTCGATAAACGTGGACACTTGTGTGAGCACCGTGGAACGTTTATGACGTTACTTGTGAAGTGGAGGTGGCGTTGAAGACTCAGGACCCGTTCTCCAAGGTTACTGGGGCCCAAACTCCGTGGTTTAGTGATTCTTACAGGTCACGTTCTGTGGATTGCTGCAGTGGGGACAAAGCCCTGGCTGAGGGTTTGCAGGTGGTCTCAAGGACACACACGCTCCTGCTCGGACTGCTGTCCTCCATGGGGCAGGCTGTGCGCGGTGGGAGCAGGCAGAGCGACCCCCTTCAGAACGAGACGCAGGGGGAACCACACAGGAGAACCACAAGGGAAAGCATCAGCACGAGTCTTAAAGCGAATCACCAGAAATCCTCAGGATCCCAACATAGTCACCACAGATGTGCTTAAATTCTGACCCCCCTGACACCGCTAGCCCCACCTCACAACAAAAACAAGCCGCAGCCTGCCCAGTCGGGTGCCGGAGGGGGGCGGTGGTGGCGGGCACCCAGAGGTACCCAGGTCAGCGGCACCGCCAGGTTTTTACTCCGTCGAAGGCACACGCGGGACAGAACAGGACGCTGGCAGCCAGCCTC